GGGAAAGGGGGAAAGGGGGAAAGGGGAAAAAAAGGGGAAAAGGGGAAAAGGGGAAAAGGGGGAAAAGGGGGAAAAGGGGGAAAAGGGGAAAAGGGGAAAAGGGGAAAAGGGGAAAAGGGGAAAAGGGGAAAGGGGAGCTCAATCAAAATCAGATGCAGGATACAGAGCCAGCTTGGAGCAGAGTCCAATCAGGTGTGTGCTCAAAGGCAAGAAGGAAGAGAGGTGCCCGTGTGAAGGCATTTGCCTTCACGACATGCCGGCCCAAGTTCAGCAGCACACTTGCAGATAGGGAAACCAAGGTGGGAAGCACGTCCAGGGTTTCAAAGAAGGTGACAGGGCCAGCTCTCTCCTTTCTTAGGCTCTTCTGTTCTTGTCTTTTGCCTCACAGCTGGGAAAGGAGCCTCACACATCCAAGGCAAGGGCTTCTGAAGCGAACACCAACCCAGGTCTGGTCCCACCCAAAGTGAGGAAGTTTTCAGTGAGACCCAATTTAGAGCAGCACCAAGCACTTCAAAAACCCCATCCTAAGACCCTTGTTGCTATTTTCAGGTGTATTTCCTTCCCACTCAACTCATGCACCAACAGCACTTTTGCCTTCCATCCCTTGCCATCCATTTCTCCTCCCAGGCCCCACAGCAGCCAGCCTGTGACCTGGGCAGGAAAAAGCTTTCAGCCCTACACAGGACTTCTGCAAAAATTAAAAACATTGCTCATGGTTTTGTCTCTTTTTCAAATAAACTTTATAATTGTTCATTCAGATTTGGAGCCAAACTTGGTCTTGTCACTTTTTAAGTGATCCTCCCTGTAATTGTTTTGCTCACACGTATTTAAGAATCTCTTCATCTGATCATCTGAAGTGATAAAAGCAATAGTAAATGAAAAAAAGCCCACAAGTTATAAATTATAAAGTTAATTGGGTCAAGCCACATAAAGAAAGCTGATATGTGATCAGAATTGAAGTTTCAGTCTATCCTGGCTCCCAGAACCGTATTTCATAAACACATTAGGGACATAATAGGCAAAAGGGATGATATAAAGGGTATTTATCTACCTCCCATTCAGCAACAATCCAGTGTTGTAAAAGTGAGTTTTTACAGCACTGGTGTTTGACAGACACCTTCCCACTCCCTGCCAACGAGCTCCATCCCTGCGAGAGAAGCTTGCACACCATGATGCCTCAGAGCTCATCCTCACCCAAAGGGATGAGCCCAGCTGCCCTGCAGACACCCGGGCAGGATGGAGAGTGGGGGTATGGCAAGGTGTAACCCCCAAACATTGTCCTTCAGCCCATCCCATGGACAAGGACCCAGCTTCACTGAATTTCAGTGATCAGGCTGAGAAACAGACAAAGCATGCAGGAAAAATGCTTCCAACTAGAAACCAGTTGTGACAAGCAAATTGGTTGTTTAAGTTTCTTTCACTTCTAATCGTCGCTGATGCTACTGGTGAAGAAACATATTTGCTCGCAGCAGATGATTCTGAAAACTCACCCATTCAATGCTGTGATGCAGTCGGATGATGCAAGCTCAGAACACCAACAAGAATAAAACAATATGCCTTAATTCCCCTGCCAGACCCAGGAGTTGAAACAGGTTTATTATGCCTGCTAAGATGACTCAACCCAACAAGGTCTGCACAGGATGAAATTCAGAGGCAGCTTCCTTCTTTCCCACCTCTAGCTCTCTCTCTCTAATTTTACCTGGGAGGATGCAAGAAGCATCACTGGCTGAAGCCCCATCCCTGGAAACATTCAAAGTCAGGTTGGACGGGGCTGTGAACAACCTGACCTGGTTGAAGGTGTCCCTGCTCACTGCAGTGGCCTTTAAAAATCCCTTCCAACCCAAACTATTCTATGTCTCTGTGATTCAGTGTGCCTTCTACATCACCCAACAGACATGCCAGGGCAGGGCTTGGTTGAGACCAAGCCCAAAACTTGCCTTATCCACAGCAACACTGCAGCTGGAGGCTGTTGAACCAGCTCTGATAGACATCTCTGCAGGTTGGACATCAGAAGTCAGTGGTGAACCAGAGCTTGGAAGAGATGGAGTCCCTGCTTGGGATGTTGGGAGGCTGCAGCCTATTGTGCCTGTTCCCTGGTCACAGAGGGGAGGTGGGATCTCTCAGCACTTGTTCAAGACTGTGCTTCAAAACTGTCTACAAAGCACATGGCAAAGCTGCACAACGAGGTCAGAGAGCAGAGTGGATCTAAAGTGAAGCACGACTCTGGTTCAATCATCCTAACGTTGCAGAGACCAGGCACAGCAAGGCATTTGGCAAACAATGAGAGCAGCACTTGTCTGGAGCAGGGAAAAAAAAGCTACTTCTAGGAGCTGACCTTTCCCAAACCTCCTGAGCCGCCGCCGATGAGGGAGAGAAACAGCTCAAGTGAGGTATCTATACAGCACTTGAGCAAGCTGCACAGAACAAAAGAGAGGGCTTGGGCTTATTGTAACCACGCTGAATACCAGCCAAGCCTCTCCATGTCTCTTAGCAGCACTGGAGCAGAAACAGGATAATAAATAACAACAACAACAATAATAATACAACAGTGTGCTTGCTGGAGAGGAGGGGAAAAGCAAAAGGTGTTGCTACAAATAATTGATGGTACCACGCTTCCCGCCACAGCTGAGTCAGCGTGGCTCCATGCGTGGACAGTCTCCTCTCCCTCAGCAGCCCCAGGCTGAGCCTGCAATAGCAAGAAAGGTTTTTAGAAGAGATCAAGGCTAAGGGGAAAGACCTCGCTGGGCTCGGAGCTTTGCTCCACCTCAGATACACTACCCTCTGATGTTCTACTTTGTGTCCCGGCTGTGACTGTTTGATCCAGGGCACAAAGGGATGTCACAGTGTGGAGTGTCCACAGAAAACACTGGGGTGAGAGGGTTTGCTCCTCCAAAAAGGCAGAGTGGCAGGGGCACCAGCCAGGTATGGCAACCAAGTGACAGAAGCCACCCAT